AGGAATTGATTCCACACGGTGCAGGGGTACACCGCAGGGGCATTCTCAAAAGTTATATGTTACTTACGTTTGCTTCGATGCAAGTATGATTACAAAATCACAGAGACAACCGCTAAACTGCTTAGCCAATTTCTAAAGGGCGGAAATGGGGTGGGGTTGTAGACTGATCAACTACATGAATTCTTCGAAGCCTTCACTGCTTCACAGGCTTTGTCGTCGCATTACACACACACTGAAAAAATAGCCCCACGAGACGAAAATAATCCCTGGAGAGGGGGAGCAAGGAGAACAATGGACAAACAGAAATCTCCAAACGTAGCTAGGTGACTGGTGCGCGAACGAAACAAATCCGCGTGGTCCTGTGTTGAACCAGGAACCTCTTCATTTTAGTCGAGCTGGCTACCAACTGAGCTCACCCCGACTCAGGCATCAGTGGAGCAAATGTATTCTATCAGCTGCCACCAGTCTAAACGGTAAACGGCTTGCATTTTTAAGGTTATAATGGGGGGACAAAGGACAAACACAAATCTCCAAACACAGCTAGGTGACTCCGTCTGCTCTACTGACGTCTAACTCCTGGTTAGCTCAGTTGGTAGAGCGCTCCACTAGAAATGGAGAGGTTCCTGGTTCAACACAGGAACAAACGGATTTGTTTCGTTCGCGCACCCCTCACCTAGCTGGGTTTGGAGATTTCTGTTTGTCCTCTGTTCCCCTTGTCCTCCACTTCTCCAGAGATTACTTTAGTCATTCCTATCCAGCTCGCTTGCACCTTAGCAATGAATTGAATTATCATTATAATTCCACAACATCTACTGCGTTCGAACATTCTCAGCCTTGAATGTAAGATTCCAACGTTCCCTCCAACGGCACTCTGATACTAACAATAGGCATACCTTCGTGGTCAAGGTGCACGGTCTGGATGTGTTGCACACTCAGTCAATTTCTTCGGTGAAAACACCAAATCGCAATAACCAGACATAAATGGCTGCAACTCATTCATTGTTACTTCGAACGTCTGCCCCCAAAGCCAACGGACCAAACGAGCTTTGACGGCTGTCAGCACAGAAAGCAGAAGACGAGCAGACGATGAACAGATCTCGTGTCGAGTCTGCTTGATTTGATCCGACGTTACCTCCCGATCGAAGGGCGTAACGTGAATAATTACTCCGCAGTAAACAAACCGCTTGTGGGAGGCGAGTTCAGATGTCATCAAGTGAGCGCCAGTAGGTTTTGAAATGCCATGCTACGGAACCTTGTCTCCGCTGTCAGAACGAGTTAATTCTGGAACACAGACTAGGGCAACGGTTGTTCTGTCCACAAGGAGTGTAAGCCTGACGAGGTCGGCGACGTGAGCATCGTACGTATACAAGGAGCTAGAAAAATTAATTATCTGACTGAGGTGTTCCCCAACTATTATTTTTTCCTTCAAATTGAGATCGTTTTTTTTTTCCCCCATTCCACAGTTGTCGGTGTTACAATATGATTAGGGTTCCCTGTTTTCGGTATATACCCTCAACAACGAAAATTAACTCCCGAGGCGGTTTTCTCTTAATCTGTGAAAAGCCAAAAATCCCAAAATCTGAGCTAAAAGGGAGTGAGACTTATCTGATTAAGATCTTCATATATTTATTATGTTTGGGGGACATTAGATGCGGGAGTAATTACCATCTTAAGTTCATTAATTAAATCATATTTGGTCATAACATTTGCATTCGTTTGTTTTAGATGTCATGTGGATATTTCAGTGATGACGCCAATCACTATAAGAAGCCAGAAAAATTAAAATAATTTTTGAAAATTTCGTAGTCCTGATGATGATACTCGATCAGTTTTCAAGTTTTTGTCCCGTTTTAAAATATTTGCTCAAATGGAGCGCCACAAGCCCTGCCCAGAATTACGCTTATTCTAGGGACGTTGTCGTTTCAGTCACTTCGTCACTTTAGTCGCTGACGCACCTCCAAACGACACGCTTGCGAGATAGTAATTTAATGGCATGATGAAAATAACTAGGTCATACCGTCATGCATCATAATGGTCTAGGTTCGTGGCGTTCTTTTTTCGTGAAATCTTTAAAACCTGCTGAAAGCGTGAAAATTGACTCGATATGATATTTTCAAAACTACCACATTTCTATAAATACTTTTTTATTGATCCACCTTTTAATAAAATTGCAGTCGAAGGTGCAGTTGTAACCTAACCCTGAAAACTAATGACTAATAAATCAACGAATTTTCGTTCATGAGCCAACGTACCATCGCGATTATCCCTATTTCATTTTTACAGATCCTGAAAAATATATGGAGAAGGCGGCACTCGTTTAACTATCAAGCTCCCTTTTAACTTTTAACGATATATGTTTGAATTAAAATCATGCGACCTGTATATAGTATAATACATACAGGGTGTTTGCTTTATTTTGAATTGACTTGTTATTGGTTTTTTTTTAGAAATCTGTGAAAAGTGCTCAAATGCGTTTTGTACACATGAGTTGCACGTTGAGGGGAACAAAATCTAGGATGCCCATTCTCACGAGAAGTCGAAAATATTACTAAAGCTATTTCATTAACTTTTTTTTAAATTGTGTAAAAAGAAACACGCGGCTCCCATTGGATACTTGCTGAGCTTCATCTAAAGCACTTCATTAATCAATATTAGGAAGATTTGAAGTACGTGGTACGCGTGAGGGTGCAACAAATGTTCCACTCCTGCGACAGGCGGAACGCTGCGGCGTCCATAATGTCGGAGGCTAATCTCTTCATTCGCGTTTCCGGACCTCCTGCGGCTCTTGTAGGAGTGGCAACTTTAGCCCACCAACGCGTTTCCCACGTTCTTTGAGCTGTCTTTTTTTTAATATTTATTGATTTAGTGGTTTTAGATTTTGTTAAGTGAGCGTCTCATAAAACCGTGTCTTTATGTTCACTAAATAGAAATTGAATTAAAAATACTAGTAAATATCCGAATTACATTCAGCATGTACTCCACATATACGTCTACCTTTCGATGCTTTGTTTTTAATGGCCCGCCAAATAACATGCAGAACCGTGAGGCAGCGGTCCTCTCGAATGAGGATATGGGTGCGGCTTAAGTTTCTTCTTCCTGGCCACCAGGTGCTCTGGCTACATTCCGTTTCGGTCTGACGGAGCTTCACGCACTTGCGACTGCCTACGAACCAGTCTGACACTGGTGTCACCATCTGTTGGGTAGCGATAGAACATTTTCGATTTCTGAATATTTACTCAATTTTTCGCGCAACATTCTTTCCTTGTACGGAGTGCTAGTTCAACTAGAGCTAGAGCTTGACGTTCTATTGTAAGAGGAAACGTGAATATAAGGAGCAAACGAACGGAGCGAAAGAAAACGGCGGAAACCGCAACGTGGCCTCATGAAGCCAGACGTTTAGTCCAGGCCAGAGCACGGTTGTCCATACGAAAGACGGATGCACATTTCTGGGCACAATATGGTAAAGCATTTAAAGGGTATTTGGAGCTCGCGTCCTCCTTCTGACATCAACCCGGTACGGCGCACAAAGTCCGGGTACATTGCTTGATCCCCACAGGAATCTTTTGATGCTCATTCACCAACACAGAATCATGTTTCCGGTCCTTGAGAAGGCGTGCTCTTTCGAAGTATTTCCAAAAGGAACTCCTTCGGTTTGGAATTGTCATTCATACGGTTCTCCGCTTTGAGGCGGCGAAGTAGTGAAATCAGTTTAATCACGGGTAACATAGTTAGGAAGGAACGTTACAGTCTCTTATTTGCGCTACCGCATCGACAATTGGACGTTTCTGTGTGCGAAGTCCAGACCATGCAGTCAGCGATGCGGTAGCCGTCTCGGCTAGCCTTGCTCAAAGGAACCGAAAGGGGACTAGTGCTTGTGAATAGGTTTTTAAATATTCAGTAAAATTTAAATATTTTACAAATAATAAAGACGTAGTTGGAGGATCTAATTCAGTTATTAGACTCATATTGTTAAATTCGTATTCTAAATTTGAAATTTGCCCACCTCTAGTCAGAATGCTCATTTCACGCCCCGTCTTTATCTGAACACCGCTCCTGTAGACCGCACTGATTGGTTCAACGAGTGTTGTGGTAGGCGCTGAACTATAGGGTGGTTCAAGTCACCAAGCTCGACCTAAAATGGACCGTAAAAATCGACGCCCGCACGTAATAATATAAACTTTTCGTCACAGGTGGAATTCAGAGGTCGGTTTTTTCTTGTAAAATTACAAAGCCTAGCTGTCTTTCTGTAAAAAACAAGGCCCAGAAACTTGCCAGGGTCTACAGCGGGCAGCAACGCAGACGGCAGGGGTCCTGTAGCGGGGTGTGTTTGGTGTTCGTATTAATAGATGGCGCTAACTCCTTATCGCGACGGCTCGCGACCACTGCGGTTTATTAAATTGAACATGATCTTTTTTGAAATGTACCTTCGATTAAAAATAAATGCGAACAATAAAAGCAAAATTTAAGTAAAGATAAACGCGTCTGCATAACGGCGGCGCTTTTGCTGCCAACAAATTTCTTCTGCGTGTCGTCTGCTATCGTTCGCTGGTCGGCTGCATCTTCAGACGCTGCTCCTGACACCATCTATCAATACGAGCACCAAACACTCCCCGCTACTCGACCCTGTCGTCTGGGTCGCCGCCCGCCGTAGACCCTGGCAAGTTTCTTGGCTCTATTTTCTACTAAAAGAGATCTACGCTTTGTAATTTTACAAGAAAAAACCGACCTGTGAAATACAATTTTGACGAAAAGTTTAGACGGCTATATGCAGGCGTCGATTTTTACGGTTCATTTTAGATCGAGCCTGGTAACTTGGACCACCCTATATTTGAGAGCGTGACAGCCGAACAGGAATACATATCTGGACAATGCAATCTTTTTACACATGAGTTCATGGAAACGCTGCGTTAACTTAGATTTTGATCACAAATCGGCACTAAGTTTCTGAGCATCTCAATGATTAAAAGTGAAACTAAAAGATGTCAGATGTGTGTGTTAAAAGTGGATCAACAAGCATTTTTTTATTGTTCACTTGTTTCGGGTTCTACTGAAATATTGTAAGACCCATAAAAGTTTGTTACACACTCTATGCGTGCCTCGTCTGCGGCGCATACACTATTATTCGTTCCTTCATTGTTATTAGTTCGCTGCATAAAGGGTTCGATCAATTTTGAAATGAAATATGACGCTTTTATATGTCTCGCTGGCACCTCGGGCTCATAGCAATTACGATCTGATGCGGAATGGATTCCAGCAAGGAACCACGTTCCGTTGTCCTCGTACATCAATGGTCCCCCGCTGTCTCCCTGCAAAGGAAAGCACAGAGAAAACACCCGCGATTTTGGTATAGATTCCACTCCGCTAAGGACAATTGGCAGCACTAAGCTGTTGCAAATAGTAGTGAACCCTGAAAGTGATTAGCAGTGTACTCCTAAATTCTGCGAGTCCTGACTGCCGAACGTAATTACGTAAGCAAAAAAAGGATAAATTATCCTTTGTTCTTCGAAAACAATCACTAGGTTCTCAGCAGGAACGGAGCCAGGATTCGGTTCGGGGGGGGGGGGGGGGGGGGGGGGGCGCAAATGACAAAATGCTGTATGAGGGGGAGGGGGGAGAGGAGGTCCCAGCAAAATGAAAGATTTCGGGAGGGCAGGGGGGCGGGCCCCATGCCCCCCCCCCCCCCCCCTTAGCTACGTGCCTGGTTCTTAGGACTATCAGGCATTACTCCGCGAAAACATTTTGACCTTGGAGAGCCTGTGCGTAATTGGAGCGACAGGACACTCACAGTCTCGGGGTTTTCTGATTCGAACCGTGAGGGGTGGCTGCCGCTATCTAAAATAGTGGACAGCCTTAGAACAAGCGGAGACAGCAGCTTCTGCTGTTTCGGAAAATCCCATATCTATATTGCCGCGCGCCAAGTAGGCAGCGCGGTCGTAGCCTAACGGTTATCGCGCTTGCCTCCCACGCGAAGGGCCAGGGTTCGATTCCTGGCCGCGGCTGCGCGTTTCGTTGACACTGTAATGTGATATTCTGGTGAATTCGAGAACCGTCTAGCTATTCGAGTTTCAAATGTTCTACGCGTCGAACCTTCTACGTCGATTGCTCCGGAAGCCAACGCGTGTACAAAAGCGGCTCCGCGTGGCAAGCCGGAGTCAGTTTCGCCCCAGCGTTCGACTCTGCTGCTACGCCGACTTCGACGCCCGCGAAGCTCTGTTATTATATTTTGTACCCTTTTATTTTGGCACAACTTCGCCACATTAAACGTTTATTTCTTCCTGTTCATTTCTTGTTTATTGGTCACCACCCGTGACAATATACACAAATACTTCCGAGGAAGCCTTCTTCGTCGATGCCGCACGAACGTGTGACAGTGGGGGAAGCACGATGCTCTGGTGACCTCTGCGACGCTGGCTGTCCATGCCAATAGGGTAGGATGTGGTGCTGTATGCACCCTGTTTGATGCAAACGATCGATGTAGAATGCATTAGCGCCGAGAAACGGAGTGAGGTACCCGTTGCGTCAGGGGACGGAAAGAGCGACGGGCTGCCACGTGCTGAAGGCGCTTCTCTCGCGTCGGCCCTCCTTCGTCGTGCACTCCCTCCTCCCTCTTCCCCCTCCCTCTCTCTCCCCATCTTCACCCACCACCCGATCCCCCTCTGCCCCTCACAGGGTTCCGGTCGAGCCTACCCCACATTCTGTTTTTGTGGGGGGCTTGGTGGCGATAGCTGCGCCCCGCTCAGAGGGCACTCCGCGAACTAAAGTCGATAGAAATATTCGGTGTTGGTGCGACAAAGGGAGAAAGAAAGCGAGCGGGAGAAGGGGAGGAGGGGCGTTGGGTATGTCGCGACTAATGATATAAATATTATAATTAATATAGAATAAGAATAAGAAGAAAAAGGAGGAACCGAACCGAACTTTCTTGGTTCACAACCAAAGGGTGGAGGCACCAAGCAAGGGCAAGAGGGCGCGGTGCCAACAGAAAGGGGTTGGGACCAACTCCCTCTGAATCCACCACACACCACAAGCTCCGACCTCACCCGAGACGGTCGCTGATGTGGACGCCGTTCTCGCGGCCCGCAAGCAAAAACGTCTCAACCTCCGTGTCTTTTTTGTTTATTTATTTATTTTTTTTTAGCGGGGGGGGGGGGGGGGTGTACAGGCTCAATCCATTCCCCCCGACGTGCGGACCCGAGTCTCTGGACCTACCGAATCGCTCCTCGGCTTGCCTAGCAGATCCATGGGAAAAGCAAAAGTCCCCCCCCCCACACACACACACACTCACCAATTAAAAAACAAAAATTCGGGAGAAGAGCGTAGAAAAAGAAGGGGGGTTGAAGGCGAAAACGGGAGAGAGATAAAGAGCGGCAGAAGAAAGAGGAAGAGAGAGTGGGAGGGAGCGCAACGGGAAGCCCTTCGAAGCTCAGGGGCGGTGTAATTCAGTTTTGGCTACTATCAACTATACTTTAAGGGGGACACTACTCAGAAAAAACGAATTTCTGCAAAAAAAGGGTTGATTTTGAACATGGCATATTCACATCAACCAACATCTAGAGATTATTGGCAGAAAGTTTCATTAATTTACATTCTACAGTTAATTTAATTGAAATTATTTTCGGTCCACCGATGCGAAAGAAAACACATAGGTTAGAGCATTTTAAATCGATATTTATCCAGCCCACCTTTTCCATAAATTTCACTTCAGGAAAAATATCGTTTTGTTGTTACGTAACTTGGATTCACTTTTATGAGTCTCTCTGGGGTGAAATTCTTAGGGAAACATATACATGAGCTTGTATGTTTTATTTTTTGTCATTTTGCATGCTTAAGACCTAACATTTTGGAGAAAAAATGAAAACCTAAAAAAAAACAGTATTTGTGTTTATGCGGCATTTTGTCATGAAAGATAGCATAATATAGAAAAACAGCGCCATAGCTATCTGCTCCGAACTATCCTAAAGAAATATACCCTAAAGCAATAACAATATACACGTGAAAACGACAAATTATAAGCAATTTCAAACTATAGTTTTCTCCGGAGACACACACACTTTCATCTCTGAACATTTGCAGTTTCTTTATATATTTGACTCAGTTTACCAAAATTTGGCACCAATGCTCTCAACATCAAAGAAATAAGCCCTGAAAACATTGCTTAAATCAGACAAACGGTTCGAACATTCACTACTTTGGGTGTTGGCCCCCTTAATCAGTAATTCAATGACAGTAATTGAATTAGTTTTGGCTAAATGAACTGTAACTGTAATTTAAATATTTTCTTGCGTGAGTAAATGCAAAATTTCAAGAATAATTACAACTACTTTTGCAAGACTTTGCGGTACCGACGGAACCTCTCTTAAAGCCTCAGCGCTCGCACAAGTGACCTAGCGCTGGCTGAAACACTCGCACACGAAGACACGCACTCACACGCACATACTCTAAAAAAAAAAAGGGCGTAGTCGGGTGCATTAGGCACCCGACTACAGCCTGTAGACCCCAAAGAGAAAATCCTCTTTCGAGCCTACATCAACCGCACCTTGTGGCGCCGTCTGCGTGTTTTGTTGCCAACACTCCGGGCTGAAAGAATCCTCTTTTGAGCCTACCTCAAAGACGCCGTGAGGCGCCGTCTGCGTGTTTTGTTGCTTACACTGCGCACTGAGAGTCCTCTTTGAAGCCTACGTCAACGGCGCCGTGTGGCACCTCTGCATATTTTGTTGCTTACACTGCGGGCTGAGAGAATCCTCCTTGGAGCCTACCTCAAAGGCGCCGTGTGACGCCCTCTGCGTGTTTTGTTGCTTAACTGAGGGCTGAGAGAAACCTCTTTGGAGCCTACCTCAACGGCACCATGTGGCGCCCTCTGCGTGTTTTGTTGCTTACACTGCGGGCTGAGAGAAACCTCTTTGGAGCCTACCTCAACGGAACCATGTGGCGCCCTCTGCGTGTTTTGTTGCTTAACTGAGGGCTGAGAGAAACCTCTTTGGAGCCTACCTCAACGGCACCATGTGGCGCCCTCTGCGTGTTTTGTTGCTTAACTGAGGGCTGAGAGAATCCTCTTTGGAGCCTACCTCAACGGCACCATGTGGCGCCCTCTGCGTGTTTTGTTGCTTACACTGCGGGCTGAGAGAAACCTCTTTGGAGCCTACCTCAACGGCATCATGTGACGCCCTCTGCGTGTTTTGTTGCTTAACTGAGGGCTGAGAGAAACCTCTTTGGAGCCTACCTCAACGGCACCATGTGGCGCCCTCTGCGTGTTTTGTTGCTTAACTGAGGGCTGAGAGAAACCTCTTTGGAGCCTACCTCAACGGCACCATGTGGCGCCCTCTGCGTGTTTTGTTGCTTACACTGCGGGCTGAGAGAAACCTCTTTGGAGCCTACCTCAACGGAACCATGTGGCGCCCTCTGCGTTTTTTGTTGCTTAACTGAGGGCTGAGAGAAACCTCTTTGGAGCCTACCTCAACGGCACCATGTGGCGCCCTCTGCGTGTTTTGTTGCTTAACTGAGGGCTGAGAGAATCCTCTTTGGAGCCTACCTCAAAGGCGCCGTGTGACGCCCTCTGCGTGTTTTGTTGCTTACAGTGCGGGCTGAGAGAAACCTCTTTGGAGCCTACCTCAACGGAACCATGTGGCGCCCTCTGCGTTTTTTGTTGCTTAACTGAGGGCTGAGAGAAACCTCTTTGGAGCCTACCTCAACGGCACCATGTGGCGCCCTCTGCGTGTTTTGTTGCTTAACTGAGGGCTGAGAGAATCCTCTTTGGAGCCTACCTCAAAGGCGCCGTGTGACGCCCTCTGCGTGTTTTGTTGCTTACACTGCGGGCTGAGAGAAACCTCTTTGGAGCCTACCTCAACGGAACCATGTGGCGCCCTCTGCGTTTTTTGTTGCTTAACTGAGGGCTGAGAGAAACCTCTTTGGAGCCTACCTCAACGGCACCATGTGGCGCCCTCTGCGTGTTTTGTTGCTTAACTGAGGGCTGAGAGAATCCTCTTTGGAGACTACCTCAAAGGCGCCGTGTGACGCCCTCTGCGTGTTTTGTTGCTTACACTGCGGGCTGAGAGAAACCTCTTTGGAGCCTACCTCAACGGAACCATGTGGCGCCCTCTGCGTGTTTTGTTGCTTAACTGAGGGCTGAGAGAATCCTCTTTGGAGCCTACCTCAAAGGCGCCGTGTGACGCCCTCTGCGTGTTTTGTTGCTTACACTGCGGGCTGAGAGAAACCTCTTTGGAGCCTACCTCAACGGAACCATGTGGCGCCCTCTGCGTGTTTTGTTGCTTAACTGAGGGCTGAGAGAAACCTCTTTGGAGCCTACCTCAAA